GAGGCGCGGGAGCGCGCACGCCTCGCGGTTGTTCGCAGGCCGCGCGCGCGAGAGCGACAGCACGTCCTGCCTGCGCTGGCCGCTCTCAGGGCTGGGTGGGAGTGTGACGTCAGGGCTTAGTGAGCGCTGTTCAGGCGCTGCCTGCTCCAGCCCTGCGCGCACACGGGAACGCTCGTCAGTCCATTAGCGGTCGCACCCGCTGTCCGGTCCGGGAGAGTTGGCAACCGTACTGTCCCATCAGATGCAAACCCGTGGTGGAAAATAGGCACAGGCAGTGCTGGTACAGTGTGTAAGTGGGGAGAACTGGTGGTATCTCCTTTGCATTTGTGAGTACAGAGCTACCAAACTGCACGCAACCTTCAAAAGAGGGATGTGTTTATTGAAGCAATTAAGAGGTTTGTATGTTCCTAAAGTTGTGCACATTCCTTGCAAAATGCAGAGAAAATTCCACAATATATTCGCCTTGTATGATACCCAGCTATCCACAAGCAGCAAAAAGTGCATATGTATTGTTTTTCAGTGCAAAAACAACTTCACACTGTGTAGGTACTAATAAAGAAATAAGTGGTTTACACTGAAAGTTGCAAAGCACTAGTTAATGTTAGAAATACTTTTCTCCCTTACCTCCTCTCATTCTGTCCAAGGTAGAGACTTTCTCATTATCATCACTCCACATGGATACAACGATACTAAAATAGTGTTATTAGAATCTCAGTGGAAATATATATACATACATTTTACCACTACAAAAATAGTGTTGTCAAAGACATGTTGTCACTAGTGATAGAAATGTAGCCGTGTTAGTCTGGGGTAGCTGAAGCAAAATGCAGGACAATGTAGCACTTTAAAGACTAACAAGATGGTTTATTAGATGATGAGCTTTCGTGGCCCAGACCCACTTCCTCAGATCAAATAGTGGAAGAAAATTGTCACAACCATATATACCAAAAGTGAAGTAAATAAAAAAGAACATATATGAAAAGGACAAATCAAATTTCAGAACAGAAAAGAGATGCGGGGAGAGGGGAAGGTAAATGTCTGTGAGCTAATGGTATTAGAGGTGATAATTGGGGAAGCTATCTTTGTAATGGGTAAAATAACTGGGGTCTTTGTTGAGACCCACGTGTAGAGTGTCGAATTTTAGCATGAATGACAGTATCAGGTGATTCCTTAATTTCTTGGATAGTCTGAGGCAGAGATCAGGTGATTCCTTGATTTCTTGGACAGGATCACAAAGACAGGATCACAAAAACAAACAAACAGTTTCTTGCCATTTCAACCAGAAAGGGGACAGTCTCGATGACTTAATTACCTGCATCCTGCTTCAGAGCCTTTTAAATCTGCATTTGAAAGGTATCTTACCCATTACAAAGATAGCTTCCCCAATTATCACCTCTAATATCATTAGCCCACAGACATTCACCTTCTGTTCTGAAATTTGATTTGTCCTTTTCATATGTGTTCACTTTTTTTTTTAATTGTATCCTTTGGTATATATGGTTGTGACTATTTTCTTCCACTATTTGATCTGAGGAAGTGGGTCTGGCCCACGAAAGCTCATCATCTAATAAACCATCTTGTTAGTCTTTAAAGTGCTACATAGTCCTGTATTTTGTTTCTTGTTTCTAGATTTGCTTTAGTGGTATGGGTCCTAAACAGAGCTCCAAACTCAGGGTACATCTACACTGCACGGCTATATCTGGATACCTCTGGTATAGTAGGCAGCAAAAAGTTCAGACGGTGAAAAATGAGGTAAAATAATAATCAGACATTAAAGTGAAATGAAATTTGGTGGGGTAGGGGGAGACGTTGTTGTCCAAATAATTCAGTAATACAATATACAGTGAAAGGATGTTTCTGGTGTTACAATAGGATCAAAATGTGGCTTCCTGCCACCCGTTATTTTGAAATATTTTTCGAAATAATAGGTGCACTAATTCGCCATCCCGGTAAACCTCATTGCATGAGGGATAAGTGATGGCTTGAAATAGTGCGTTATTTTGAAATTTTGTGCTGTGTACACAGACCAATTTTCAAAATAAGCTATTTTGAAATAGATTTAAGATAAGATATACAATTTGCATAGCATAAATTGTGTATCTTATTTTGAGTTTAGGATGTTGTGTAGACGCACCTTCAGTCATCTGAAAAATCTTTCATTGATAAAGTAAGGAATGATTAAGGATTTTTTAATATGTTTACTGTTTACAATAATTTTCACATGCATATATATATATATATATATACACTATGTCCCTTGAGTAGATATGTACTCTAGATTATTACACAATTTCTTTAAAGGTGGGCACACGTCTCCTATGTCAGTGTTTATTTCTTGTTTATATTTGTGTGTGTGTATTTAGTAAATATTATACATGAAAAATATATCATAGAAGTTTGTGAAAGCACTTTTATTTAAAATTTCTTGTAATTTTAGTATCATGTTATTTAGGAATGGTAATTAAATATCTTAATGTGACGTCAACACAGAGTTTTGTGATGCAATTAAAATAAAATAAATAAATAATAATATATAGTACATTGATGAAAAAGTATTTTAGCATGAGAGTAAAGATTATTACACTTATATTACAGGTAGAAAACTGAGACAAATTGGTACAGTATTAGCCTCTTGCCCAACATCATATACTAAGCCCATGGTAGAACTGGACACAACTCTAGTCTCCTGACTCACAATCTGGTGTCCTATTTTCTGGACTATGCTGCCTCCATACTCTGAGAAGAATTCAGATCCCAAAGAGAATAAACACATAAAAATGGCCATACTGAATCATACCAGTGGTCCATCTAGATCAGTTTCCTGTCATCCAACAGTGTCCAATGCTAGACATTTCAGAGGGAATGAACAGAACAGGGAAACTATTGAGAGATCCATCCCGTCATCCAGTCCCTGCTTCTGGCAATTTGAGCGTCAGGGACACCCTGAGCATAAGGTTGCATTCCTGACCATCTTGGCTAATAGCCATTGATGAACCTATCCTCCATGAACTTATCTAATTCTTGTTTGAGTGCAGTTTCATTTCTGGGCTTCACAACATCCCCGGGAAATGAGTTCCACAGGTTGACTTTTTATGCTGTGAGAAAGTACTTCCTTATGTTTGTTTTTAGTCTTAATTTCATTGGGTGACTCTTGGTTCTTATGTAACAGCACTTCCCTATTCACTTTCTCCACACCATTTATAATTTTATAGACCCTCATCATATCTCCAAGCTAAACAATTCCAGTCTTTTTAGTCTTCTCTCCTATGGAATGTGTTCTATATCCCCAATAATTTTTGTTGCCATTCTATTATTCCAATTTGAATATATCTTTTTGAAGTAGGGTGCTCAGAGCATCATGCAATATGCTTAAGGTGTGGGTATTCCATAAAGTGGCATTATGATATTTTTCTGTTAGGTTCTTTTTGTCTGCTGCCGCACATTGAACAGATGTTTTGGGGGAGCTACGCACAATGACTTCAAGATCTCTTCCTTGAGAAGTAATTTAGACCTCACCTCATCATTTGGTATGTATAGTTGGGATTATATTTTCCAATGTGCATTATTCTGCACTTAACATAAAATTTCATCAACCATTTTGTTGTCCAGTCATACACAGTTATTTAGACATTTTGAACATGAAAGGGAAAACACTAACAGCTAAGTCTTCTAAAGTGGAGAACAGTTACTTGAATTAATTAAATAACATTGTTTGAGTTATTTATTTTTAATTCCTTTATTGCCTCTTTATTTATATTGATTTATGCTTACAAATGCTTCAGTGTGAAAATAACTGAGTTGTTGCAAGAGATACTAACTATAATGCTGCTCAACAGTAATATGAAAAGGTTGACCTGACTTCAGTTGATGGCTTACTACTTTCTTGGGTTAATCAGATATGGGGGTTTCAAAAATCATTCAGAAAGGGATCAGTGTCTTCTTTTTGCAACAACTTTGATTTTATTTTATTTAAAGGGCAGCTAGAATTATAATTAGGTGCTACTACTGTTCGTTATTTTGTTCATTTGTTATTTGTGTACTTAAAATAGCTGTATCTTAGAACCTCGCATCTGCTTCTGGCACAGATGAGAGTCTGACATGATATTCTGCTTGCTCTGACTGTACTCAAGTGACATACGAATCACTATTGCATGACCTATGCTGCTGAAATCACAGAGGCAGCATGAAGAATGATGAACAAACAAACCATTTATGTTGAAGCCTCTACAGTACTGAGCAAATGAGCTGCCAGAAGATTTTCCCTTCCTTCCAAGCTCTGTGTAGAAAGGTATCTTTTAAAAAACTGCACAGAACCATTCAGGCATGAACCTTAGTAACCATAGCAACCACATCAACTTATTGTTGTAACTATTGGCATCCTCTCATCAAACTCCCTCTCCACCTTGCACAGCATTCATCATTTTCTCTCCTCATGCCATATTTTAATCCAGTGCAAGTGCAGATCTGCAGATGAGAAGCTATTATTGCCTTCAACGGGGACTCGTGGGGGGAAGGATTGCTAGATCAGGCTCTTCAGGGCGGGGTTCCTGTATTTTATTTGTCTGTAAAGTGCCATATCCATTTGTATTACCGTATAAATAAATCATTCATAATCTCAGAGGCCTTAGTAATGGGGACTTATGACTTTTATATTTGGTTAAGAATTTCCATCAGAATCTACTCTTAATGCGGTGTCTTCTTTTTTCACAGTATTAACAACACTTAATAGTGCTTTGTTAAAACTGATTGGCTGCTATTTTGTTTATGTTTAAGAAGAAAAAATAAAAAGATTCAGAATAAAAATTATTTGATACGAAGGGAAATATCTGCAAATAGTCACCTTTTTCTAAAGTGTAAAACTATAGTTTATCTGAGATTGAAGTTAGAAACAAGACAGTATCTTCTATAATAAGAGGCAGCACTTTTATTTCTGGTGTAACCTCACTTGAGACAATGGATTTATATCAGGAATGAATTTGGCTTCTGGTATGTAACATGCAATTTAAAAGTACAGTAATTACTCATTTAACATGTGCCCGCTTAACACGTATTCACAATAGCACAATTTTTTTTTTGGGAACGTTTTTCAAATATCACGACCGTCCCCAAAATAACATGAAAATAATCAAGTGGCAGACTACTTCGCACGGCGGTATAAGTTGGTGACAACAATGGTAATATGCATGAGTGCATGAATACACGTGGCCACAGCACTCCTCCGCTCACTCACGTGTTTATCTTTGTGTTTTAACAAACCACGGTGACTTGTGTTGGTAGATATCTTGTCTCGCTAGATATCTGATGTTGACATTGACAACTCAGCACCAACAAAAAACTGACTTTGCCACCACCACCTGAAACGCAACCTCCACCTTTTCCATTATATTCACTTAGCACAAACATTTTCAGAAACGCATCTATACTGTTAAATGAGGAATTACTGTACTAATCTGGCCAGTGAATTCATTATGGGTCTACACTATACTATGTCTACACTACATAATTATTTTGAAATATCTAATTTCAAAATAGGTATTTCGAAATAGCTTATTTTGAAATAACGCGACTACACACAAAATGCATTTTGAAATAGCTTTTTGCTATTTCGAAATAGCGCGTCCACACTATCCAGCAGGGCATCAGGTCAGGAGTTACTGTGTGTGGCTGCTGCTTGAGGCTATCTGAGGCCTGTGCTTAAAGGGATCCCCCCTGGACAGCCAGTTCTCAGGTTTCCCTCCTTACTTGCCTACCTCGCTGAGGGACAGCAAAGCATTTTGTCTCTGCGTGTTCTGATTGCTCTCACTCGGGACACAATAGCACTCTGCAACATGGAGCCAGAGCTGCCCCTGGGCACTCTGGTGCTTCTCTTGGATGCGTTACTGTGAGCGTGGCTGCACTTTCTGCAGGCTTCCATCTGGGAGGTCCATTGGGGGGGCTGTCAGTATCCAGGGGGTCCTGCAGGAGAGCTTCTACCCTGAGGAGCACTAAGAGCCTCCCTGGTCTGCCCCACTGGGGGCTTGCACCTCATTCCTCCCCCATGTCCTACCCTTCCCTAACTCCTCTTCCTGATGTCAAATAAAATACACGTATTTTCATGAACACAAACTCTCTTTATTTAACAAAACTGGGGGGGAGGGAATGAAACTCTGGTGAGACTGGGGAAAGGAGGTGAGAGAGGGAAAGAGAGAAGGTGGGAGAGGAGAGGGGGAAACCGGGAGGAGAGAGCTGGAAGGGGGAAGCAAGGGGAAGAAGCAGGAGGGGACGCTCAGGGCTCAGGGTTGGGGGTCTCACCAGACCAACTTGATTTTCATGCGGGGAGTCTCGCCAGACCAACTTGATTTTCATTTGAAACTGCTTCTGGGTTCGCATGTGGCCTTTGGTGGCCAGGCTGTCAGCTATCCTGCCATAGACAGTCACATTCCTCCATCTAGTGCAGAGATCATGGACATTGGGGGCATCTCCCCCAAACCTGAATAAGGTCCATGATCTCCACCCTGGAGCAGGAAGGTGCCTGCCTTCTCCGGGCCCTAGCATGCTCATGGGAACTGGCAGACTGCTTCTGGGGAGTGGTGGAGGGCTGGCTGCCAGTGACTTGCTGGCTCATGTTTTGGGGCCACTGGGTCGAGGCAGTGACTACTGGCTCTGGGCTGGCAGGGTTGGAGCTGGCACAGGCACTGTGGCCAGAGTCTACCCCTGTAAGGGCTCCGGGGAGCAGGAGAGGGAAAGGCGTGTTTTTGGTTGAGGCCAAAGTGACCACCAGGGCACCCTGGGAAGGCTAGAAGCCCCCTATTTTGAAGTAAGTATCTACACAGCACTTATTTTGACATTGGTGTTATTCCTCGTGGAATGAGGTTTACCAATTTCGAAATAAGCCCTCCGCTATTTCGATTTAATTTCAAAATAATGGAATGGCTGTGTAGACGCTAGGATAGTTATTTCAAAATAATAACTGTTATTTCGAAATAACTTTGCTGTGTAGACATACCCTATCAGTTTAGTAATATTTTACCTAATGTAAATCACCTCAGGCTGTTACAACTCCCTGTGGGTAATATTTAAAAGCATGGTAACTCTGAGTCTTATTTTTAAAAACCTTGAAGTAATTAAGTCTGTTTGTGACAGGGAGGCCAACTTCTCAGCTTTATGGATTATTGAAAGTCAGCCGCTTCTACATTTCAATATCAAAGGGTAAAATGACTGTAGTGTGACAGAATCACATTTACACACACATTTTGTTTACAGAATGAGAGCAAAGCACTGCTGTGTTAGCAGCTGTGCATTCATTCTCTTCTAGAAGAAACACTGCCAAAATTCAGGCTGGCTTTGTTCTTTTATGGTGGCAACAATGAGATGCATTGTCAAAGGGAAGGCAGGTATTTGAATTAACCTTTTGAATCCTCCCAGTGTTTTACACTTAGAATTAATAATTTTGAATAATGTCAAACTCATCGTGGGTGGCAGACAAGGGGTGGGAACAAATATATTTTGTCAAAGCATCTTAACTTATATAGATATTGTGACAGAGTCAGAGCAGAAGGCTATAAAAAAGTAGTCCTATTAGAGTCTGGGAGGTGGGCAGAGATAAGCCCACTCACATCTACAGGACCTCCCCCCAGCTTATGGGGAAGATCCACAGAACCCAAAACACCAAGGGTATGTCTAGACTACATGGTTCCGTCGATGGAGCCATGTAAACTAGTTTACCTGACATAGGCAAAGAAGCGGGGTTTAAATAATCCCTGCTTCGTTAAAATAAACATGGCCGCCATGGTTTGCCGACGATTA